GATCCTTTTATTTTATCAAACCAGTGATTAATTTCATTATTAATATTATAAGCAGTAGATCATATTTGTAAATTTGAGTTAATATAACAATTAGACGTTTTATATGTAAATTTTGGATATAAACTAAAACAAACCTCTTTTTTTAGATTTTTGTAATACTATGTGATGCAAAAATAGCAAATATAAACTAAAATAGACCTGTAATACTGTATATCTATATTTGTACTTAACATATATATGTATGTATATATATACAAAATGTTTATTATTATAAAGTTCTGTTAATTTCTATTTTTTAATAGCAAATAAGGAATAGCAATAGAAATTTATTGATAATTGTTTTATACGTATACAAAATATATTTTAACATTTGCAAATAACTAATTAAAACATTTGTATAATCAAAATTCTAGCAAATATATAATATACATCATCTTCATGGTTTTTATTTTCAATATATAAGCTAATAAGAATAGGTTTAAAACTAATTATAATATTTTTTACTTTAGTACTTATGCCTATTTGTGCCAAAATATTCTGCTTCATCCAGCTTTTTATACAAAATAAAGCATGAGTTGTTTCAGGATAAAGGCAATTGCAAACTTTCGTAAGTGTTTCTAATACTACAAAGAAGGCTTCTTCACAGAGAACCTAGTTTTCTAAATAGCCAGATAGTTATACACTATTTTGCTAGAGTTGAAAAATGGTGCTCATTAAGTGCCCATCAGTTAAAAGGATCAGTTGCAGAAATTGGAGGCAAAGATAAGTATAAATCCATTTCTTCTGGTGGTGGTTTATTAATTAGCTGTTATTCTAACAAAGATATAAAAATTATTTTTTTTATTTTTAGAGATGGATGTAGTAGTATTTGTTACTAAGGTTTATAATATATATTGATTAATTAAACAATATAAATATTCAACAGCTGTTTCTTTTTTTTTATAGATGTAAATGTTGTAAATTTTGAAGAAGAATTAAGAATTGCAGCAATCATAATTGATTTATCAAGAAGTAATCAATATTCATTTAGTTTATATTGTATAGAATTTGCAATCATATATTCCTCATTCAAATGTATCTCTTCAATAAATCTATCAAGGTATTGAAAAATTCTCTCAAAGAATAAATGAACATCAGATATTGTTGAATAAAAACTTGATGAAAGAAGTTTTGTCACATTATATATAAAGTAAAAAAGATTAATCATAATATTAATTATTTCCTATTCATCTTTATTAAGAAAAATATTATCAAATTGATGTTTGGTTACAAGTTTAAGCTTAGCACACATTACTTTAAATTATTATAACATGTTATCTCTTAAATTATAACACAGGCAAATTTGTTTGCGTTTATTTTTTTAAACTTTATTTTTTTAATAAAAGTTCAAATATTAATTTTAACAATATACTTTCTAATTAAAAACAACTTTTAAAGATCTACTTTATCAACTTTATTAAAAAAATTTTTAAAATTATTAAAAAACTTTTGATTAATTAAAGTTTAAAGTTTGTGTAATATTAGAGTTTAGTATTAAAAAATTTTTTAGATTTTCTAAAAGGACAATTTTAACTTGTGGTACTGGTTAAAATTAACCAGATGGTTAATTATAACCATCTGGTTAATTATAGCCACTAGTTAAAATTAACCAGATGGTTAAAATTAACCAGATGGCTATAATTAACCAGTGGTTAATTATAACTATCTGGTTAATTTTAACCAGTGCTACAACAATATATAATACTATATTTTAATTTATTTATTTATTATTAAAATATAGTACCTATACTCTATGTTTTAATAAAGCATATACGGCATTTAAATTATTCAAGCAAAATAGTTTACTTAAACAAAGTTTTTTAACAAAAAGCCTTGACTAATTAGAATACTTTCGCTTAAATTTAGTTATACAAAACAAAAAGTTAATTAAAGTATATCTTTAATACGCAATTTATAAGAATTTTATTAGATATTAATACAGTAATAGCTTATCTAATAACCTTTAACTCTATCTTTTAAAAATAAATAAATATTATTTATTACGTTTTGGTAAAGTGCATGAGCGAATATTATGTCCTTTCTTGTAGCAATTTGAACAAGTATATGCATGTGATTGATTTACGTTTTCATTAATAACCCTTAGTAGTTTTTTGGCTTCTCGTTTAAGTACACCCTTTGTCTTTTACTTGGTTGGCCCTTAACTGAAATGATTTTTGGGTTGGTAACCTGAATATCATTTTCTTGTTCTTGACTTGATACACTACGGATATCAGTTTCTTGTTCTTGACTTGATGTAATATCATTTAATTTAGAAGTTGCAATAGCATTTAGTAATTCTTTTTTTTGTTGTATAAATTGACAACACCAATTATTTACTTCTTCTTCAGTTTTTGTTTCCATCGCCAATGTAAGAACAGTTTGTAATAATCCATAACTTTTATCATAACATATGCGATCTTGAATAAACTTCTTATTAGGTTTTTTAGATCCTGAAGCTTTACGCATAAATGTAAGTTGTTCAAATTGATTAGTTAACACAGTTTGATTAGGTTGACTTGGTGAATTAGACCTATCAGAATTATTATGTGATCGGATCACTGAAATATTATTGAATGTATCATCTGGTTCATTAAAATATGCATCTTTATACCATCGACGCATTATTAATGATATATGAAAAATAGCTACATTTGACTCTATAAGAATGGCAAAGTAATATCTGCATACAATTCTACGACTAACCAGCCAGGTACATGTATATAAAAATGAGTCATCCTTAAATAAAATAATATAATGCGCATTTCCAAAATCTACAAGTTTAACAACACGCCAAGCTTCTTGAATTTTATCATATGATACATCATCCAAAATAGAGTTAATATGCACTTGTTGTGTATCATAATTGTCTTCAATACATCCATCGATAAATTCAGGTTCATTAATAGTACAATGCTCTTGTAAATTATCAAATAAATAACACCGATACCAAAGTGCTTGTTGGATTTGTTGTTTTATTTCAGCAATTATATGAGGTGTAAGATATTTTTCACACATTGCAATAATTTCAGAAAATAATGGTTTACTCATAGATTGACCATTATGGTTAAAGTTCATAATTTCTTGAGAACGGCTATATTTATTTTCTTTATCAAGGCGATCCTGAATTGTATTATATAATTTAATCAAAGATGATGATTGATTAACACTAGCTTTAATAAGGTTATTATAACACTCTACATGTTGTGTACTTTGAATGCCTGCATTAAATATTTGAGTTGTAAAACAGCGGGCCCAGCTTTGCTTTGATTGGTATAGTTTATGTAAATAACTTTTCATAGCTGGATAAGCTTCAATTAACTGTTTATATCGACATTCAAATACAGTCACCTGTAATGCATTTCGTGCACTATAAAAGCTACTCATAAACTGATCAAAATGATCACTAAGTTTTGATCGGGCCTTTTTTTTAATATTATTTCCAAGATGGAATACACAAAGATGATGATGAGATGTTGTAAAAGTTTTAGAAATTGCTGCAGCTATCGCAGGATCAAAGTCAGAAAAAATAACACCAGATTTATATGTTGGGTTTCCCTTTTGAAGACATGTAAGAAGCCAAGTAAAAGAGTCCATAGATTCATCTGACAATAGTGCCTGAGCAGCCAACCTACTTTTAGTGTTATTATCAACCACAATTACCAGGGCCAATGGTCGTCGGTATCTGTTAGTCTTGCAAGTTGTATTTAGTAAACAAACGTCACCAAATCTAGATAGCAATTGTATTTGTTCATCAGATTGCCAAAAAATTCCCTTAAGCTTACTATCTATATCTCTAATCACAGGTTCAACTACACAACCAGGATCTTTTTTTTTTTGACACAAAAGGTATTTTAATAAATCAGCAGCATCATTTTTAAGTCCTTTAGGTGTACCTTTTAATTGATTTATTATATTATATATACTTCGTGGTTTAATTAGGTGATCAGGATATTCATTTTCAAGTAAGTTGATTATTTTACTGAGTTGAATATGATATTGATGATACAATTCAACTTTATTGAACATTTCAGTAGTTAACCGGTAATATCGTGGTGCATTATTTTTAATATGATCATCCATTGGATGATTGTGAATTGACTCATTATCTATTAAAGAACAGCGAATTGTTGATGCTTTACTACCAATTAAAAAATTACAATGCCATTTACAATCTATAACAGTTGCTTCATGATTGCGTTGATTATCAGGGTCAATTATTTTTTTAGGTTTCCATTGTCCAGATAAGTGACACATCCAAGTAGTATTCCATACTGTCCCATCTTCACGTGTACGTGTACGTCTTTTTCTAACTGCAAAACCACGCTCCATTGCATACCGATCAAGCTTTCTTTCAACCTCTTCGAATGTATTAAAAGTATCATTAACATTTATATAAAAAGAACATTTATGCTGACTATTAACATTATCATTGCTATCACTTTGATCACTAGAATCTGATAACTCAAGTGAAGTAGAATGAAAAGAATTATTTTGTTGGTTAAGGGTAGGTTCAGAAAATGTTAGTGTAGTTTGTAAATCAATAGCAGAAGAATAGAAACTCGAATTCAATAAGTATAATTCATTGTCAGAATAATAAGAATCCTGTAGTAAATTGTAAGCTTTAATTGAAGTATTTTTTGATAATACAAAAATAAGTTAATATAGCCCTTCAAGACATTAATCACAAGTAACAAAGCTGGATTCGGCTTTGTTACTTGTGATCAGTGTCTTGAAGGCTACATTAACTAATACACATCTATTATTGAAACTAATGCAATCATTTAATGAACCTGAGGTGTGTCTAGATTAATATTCAAAGAAGCCAGGGTAGTGTTTTCATAAAATGCCTCTGGTAATGTTTTTGCCGGTAGTTTATTACGTTCATTAAAAGAATAACGAGTCTTAAATAAGATTAGATTAGTTATACATACACACTATCTTGTCTAAAATCTAACTAAATATTAACTAACCTGGGACGGGCTTATATTAAGGTTTAAAAAAGGCAAGGCGATATTTCCATAGAAAGCCTCTGATAATGCTGTTTCTTCATCTGAACCAAGTTCATTATTTTCAACTGACTGGTGTGCTGATAATGATTTCTCTTCTACTGAACCAAGTTCGGCATTCGCAAAGAACTGGTATGCCTTAAATAAGATTCGATTAGACACTGCTATGCAATAGCGAACATGTTGGACCAACTTTATCTAATTCTTCAACAAATCTGTAGTAGTCTTAAAGCAGTATTGCCAGGGGAACCAAACAACGGAAACAGCTTTGAACAACAATAAATTAGTAATAAACCTTCATACTAAAACTTTATACAGCCATATTCCAATAATGCTAATATGTACCTCACGTTCATCGAAATTCATAACGATAACGAAAATAAAAAAAAATCTTGTTATGTACTATAATACAAATTTATAGCATTGTAGTAAAACGTGATCAATATCACATATCAATCACATGTCAATAAAATTAGATAGCATACATACGTACCTTTTTTAAATTACTGGTTATAATTAACCATTTATTATTATGGCTAACCCTAACCAGTGGCGCATGTTATAGTTATTCTAAAATTTCTATGTAAACAATATTTGTTTACATAGAGATTTTATATAGTTGGCTAATCGTTTTTTGATGATATCTCGCCATCCACTAAGCCAATTTGGATGTCTAACCACTGTTAGATGCGTCTCGACGAGCTCTACAATTTTCAATTAATGGGCATGTATCGTTAACTTAGTAAGAAAAAAAGTTTTAGATGGGAGC